GAAATCCGTTTTGTGTTACGGCGCAGAGTAACCGACATGCTAGTAGCAGTTAGGTGTATTCAGTTAGATGTTCTTTGTTTGAGGAGGGAGCTGTAAACTGAACTCAAATATTGACACTCGAAACAGATTTAAGTGTAATATTTATTTAGTATTAGCTCCAGAACTGTCAGATAGAAAGGTCAATACCACTTACAGTATGTGTGTCTGTTAAATACTGTGTAACTAACTAAAAAGTCATATCTTTCTTCTTGTGTAAAAAGTAGCCTACAAGTTGAGGTTTCACTGGGGGTTATGGTCTGGACTATTTTCCAGGAGGTTGTTTTCTTTTTCTTTGTACAAATATAACAGAAAATATACTAATTTTAAATGAATAAACTTAAAGGGGACCTATCATGCAAAATGCACTTTTGTACGTCTTTTATACATGAATATGTGTCCCCGGTGTTCCAGGGAACTCACCAAGTGTCAGAAAACACAACCCTCTCTATTTTTCTCCATACCCAAATCTCTAAGAAAGGGGCTGCAACGGATCTGATCAAAACTGATCCAGATTTGAACACTGTCCTGACGTCAGGACAGTGGCGCTACGGCTATTGGGCCAACTCCACCAATCAGGAGGAGACAGCCACGGCCATTGCCGTTCGAAAGCGCTGGAGACGCTGTAGTACATATGCCAGGCCTGTAGGTGGTGCTGTTCTCACATAATCTGCCCTTGCAAGAACAGAGCTAAAAAATGTCAAATTGAGCAAAATGAGGCATGGCTAAAATGCATGATCTGTTTGGTATTTTGAAAAGAAAAAAGTATAAATATGCCTTATATAGGTATGGTCCTACACTATATTATTCAAATATAGCATGATAGGTCCACTTTAAGATGTACCAGTAGTTGGAATTTGTTATCTTTGAAGCCAGATTAGCTGTTTCCCTCGGTTTCCAGTCGTTATGCTAAGCCAAGCTAATCATCATCTGGCTCCAGTTTCATATTTATGGCGCATATACAATACAAAAAAAATATTATTTCTATTTTTGGTTGTTTCTAAATGTAGTACTTGAAGCAGTACATCAAAATAAGTTCAAGAAGATATAGAAATAATATTGAAATTGAGAATGGTGCAAGGGACACAATGTCAGGAATGTCTTCTAGAAGAAATAAGTAAACTATATACATTTCAAATATAGTTAAATAAAACAGAATGTTAATTAAATACTGTACAGGTAATAATGCTTATGGTAATATATAAATATGTGGACTGTAAACAGATGTTTGTCAGTCTAATTGCCTGTGGGATAAAACTGTCTCTGAGTCTCGTGGTCTTGGTCCTGATACAGCAGTATCGTTTGTAATATTTTGGGTGATGAACAATACAACACCTGCAGTAGCTGTACAGAGTGTCTGCTGCTGACACGTAGAAGTGATTAGCAGTGGAGGAGCTGCCTTTGTTTGAAACTGAAAGAGATCCAAGGAGCAGTGAAAGATAATGTGATGACAATGTTCAAGGTGAAGTAAACAATCACATGTCTTTTGTTCTATCAAGGCAACAAATATTGAGCTGGTTTTCAGCTCTGTAGCTGCGGGGATTTAAAGTGTGCTGCAGTCTTGGATTGCCTCTGATCACGTTTCCACTGCTAAAGTGTTGGAGCAGCATTTTTCAGAGTGAGATTTCATACCACTGAGGGAGATAATATATTTATATTAAAAGGCTCTCAAGTGCAATCAATCTTTCCTCTGGGACATGAAAAAGAAGCTTAATAAGTTTTATCAGCAGCAGCTTTTTGTGCCCCATAGAGGAGCAGTTCATTATGATTATAGTGCAGCACTATAGGGCTCAAGGGGCCACTTTGAAATGGTGAGAACAAATATTTCACAACTGGGAAATTTGTGTGGGGTTCAGAAGGCCAGATAGTTTAAACTTCTGGGGACAGTAGTGCATCATGAGAAGGTAACAATACTAATCCGCTTCAAAGGCAGTGTGCTTGTCACAAGTCCTTTAAAATCTCGCTCTACCAGTCAGAAAGTGCCGGAGGGGAAACCACTAGCTGCACTTTGATCTTGCCAGGTCTATCACTTTTGATAAGAGCTTCTGAAGCAAATGAGGAAAACATTGTCATTCAAGAAGCAAGCTTAGCTGCAAGGCCTGTTAATTAATATAAATAGCTGGAAGCTAAAACTGCAATGCAAGAGGTGGATAATTATATATTTTCCTTGTTTGTTTTCTCCTTATGTTTGGCAAAGATTTAAAAGAAAACATGTTTTTGCCAAGGGTAAATCTGAACTGTCTGAACTCTACTTTTCTCAAAGAAACTGTCAGATGAAATGTATTCATGAAATGGAATAAGAAGGACATTAATATAGATATTATCAAAACATTAGATGGATATACTGTAGCTCCAATGCAGCATTTATGTCCTGTGCATCAGAGGTGATAAATATTTAATGTACTATTCATTAACAACCCTCATCTTCCTCAGCATTTCCTTGATTTTTAATGTGCAATGCTTTAATAAGTTGTCTCCAGTCTGCGGTCCAGGAAAAGCTTTAAGAATTACAAGATTGCAATTTGTACGGATTCATGTATTATGTGACAAATTACAACTCTTTGTAGCTTTTGTTTAATCCCTCAATGAAACTGCTGAGCAATTCATCTTAAATTAGTTGAATACATAGTGTGAAACTGAGAGCTGCTTATTTCTTCATTACCGCAGACTCATAACTTTGTGAAACTGGATAAGCAGGTAATCCTCAGCAGAGGTTAATGTAGTACTTTTGAAATATCACCTGCGTCCGGTTCTCCCTGTTAGTTAAGAGATGACAGCTTGTGTTGATTCTGAGAAAATATTTCTCTGTGATTGGTGTAACCATCTATGGCTTTTCTTTAGCTACAAACCTCTTCTCAGCCAGTCACTGCTCGGACATTATTGAGAGTTATGGCATCTCACCCTAAGATTGTAGCCTTGAGGCAACCATTTATAAAAGGTACTCTTACATCCTGCGAGGTGTCCGTCAGATAAAGAACTGCAGTAGAGCCACAGCTTTAAAGAGTTTCCATCACTGTAACAATAAAGAGCTTTTTGGATTATTCTAGTGGGAATACTAAATAAAGCATGTGCTATAAATAATGTGGTAACTGTCTCAACCAATTTAAGAGGAAAACAAAACTGGCATTGAAGTGACATTCCCCAACCACGCTGTAACCTGAAAATGAGCAGGAGAGGCTGTGAGAACATTTACAGCTCATTCTGCCCGTGATAATGAGAGCCCGCTGAGTCAATCAGCACAAAGATAACATGCCGGGGGGGCGGCTCCTGTGGAGGCACCCTGTGACTACTGAGCCCCAAACCCTAATACTGCGGAGTTGTTGACTTATTTAAATTAGATGGATGTTCCTTTCATGCCACATAGCAGTCCTCAGACATTTGCACGATGGTTTGAGACGCTCTTTGGGGTGTTATGTTCACATGCTCGCATTCTGGGTACAATTTGGAGTCATTTCCTGCTGCTGTTTGCACAGCGAAGCGCTTCAGGCTGCGCTCAGAAGGTTTTGTTGGAAAGCTTACAGTAGGCTATATCCGTCTTATTGAGAGGGAGCTAGGTACTGTTACTGCCTTAACTCTCACTTAAATATTAAATGGTTTTTGAATGCAGGACATTACATTTGTCAAAATGTGTGATAAAGCTCTGGTTCTTGGCAATAATGCATTTTACATGATCAATTACAGCCAGTGTAGACTCCCTAATATATGCTAAACCGACAATTTAAAATATTTTAATTTGAAATATTATCAATAAATAGCTGCTTTTTTTAACTAACCCTAACCCAAAGAGTCTTCAGCAATGGACAGATTATAAGACGACATGTCCCAGGACACAGACATGTAAATGCCCCCCCCCCCCATCCCTCCTGCATAGGAACCCAGACTGAAACACATACAAACAAATATCCCTCATGTAGTTTTATAATCTGTCTTTAGTCGTTTTGTGTGTCTTTGTAGCCCCTTGTGTCTTTATGGTTGTTTTGTGTCTGTTTTATTGCATGTTTTTTTTTTAAAGATTGCATCTCCTTGTTGTAATTTAGTGTATTTTTTCTGTTGCTATGCATTTTTCTGCAGTCTTTTTTGCATCCCATTTTAGTTATAATTGGCCTCTTTTTAGTAACTTTGCAGCATATTTCCTATTTCCTTGCAGTCTTCATGCAGCAGTCATTTTCTGTCTCCTTGTAGTCGACCTTTTGATGGGTAGGAGTTTTCATATTGCTCTCTCTCTTCGGACCACTAGAGTTAAATGAAAATCATTTATCCATGTCTTCCCACGGATACCAATAAATAAAGATATTTGAACTTTAGTTTTGCACTTGGGATCATAGCTATAATGTTTTTATTGTTACTGGAAATCTCTCTTGAAGATCCTGTTTTATTTTACAGTTCTGATGCGGCACATATCAATGTGCAGAGCTCATATAAGAGTGATGAGGATACAATAGGAGACAACTACTGTAACTGTGAACATGAGACGCATCAGTCTCTGATCAATAATGAGCTTATGACAGTGATGGACTGCAGGAATTGCAGAGAAATTGGAGAGACAAATGGTCCGGAGCTCGAAATACACAGCCCCACCCTGTTTCAAGGTCACTGCTTTGTAGCTTAATGTGAAATGATCATTGCTGCCAGGAAGATTTACAAAAGTTAATTTGACCCAATAAAGGTTCACAAGTTACAAATGATTTTTTACATGTATAGTTCATAGCTTGTTGCTAGTTGTATAAAACATGCGAGAATCTTTTGTGTTTTTGGTTCTTATTCAAACGGTGGCCATATTCATTTATATCAATTCTATATGATGAGCTGCAGCTTAAAAACATTTGATGGCAGATATGTAATGAACCAATATCTGATGGGCCATGTTGCACACTCAAAGTGCTGCTATTTGCCTTCCTATACTACTACAGGATATTGCTACTATTTCTTTACAATACTAAATGAAGTGCTTCATTTGTTTACAGTGCTGGAGGTCAGGATGGGTGGTTGGTGGAGAAACGTCAGGACTGTGTCCAGAGACCAGGATTTGCATCCTGCAAAAACACTTTGGTTAAGGTTAGTGAAAGATGGTGGCTGTGGTTGAATGTTAATAGGCACGTAATGATTTGTGCTTCAAGTCGCTACAGACTTTTTCTATAGTTAACCAAGACCATCATCTCTCCTAACCTCAACCAAGTGCTGTGAGAGACTTAATTCAGCCATAAAAAGTAGAATAACGCTGAAGTCACTACAAGCAGATATTGCATTGCAAGGTTGTTGTTTATCTGGTGTTTAACAAAAACATGTGTCAATAAATATTTTACTGATGCGTTCATTATTAATATTTTTGAAACTTGACAGAAACATTCATTAAATCATGCTGCGGATTGAAAGCGTTTTCCTCCAGATGGTTATGTCTGTGGTGCAAATGTATAGTGATACATTAAAGGCACAAACTAGAGCTTCATGTAGCCTGTAGTCTATCATTAAAAAATATTAAATGCCAAATTGTGATATTGTTGGCCCGAGTGTTTGCGCATTAACTCATAAATCCGCTGCGTCTAAATGATTATGTTTTGCATCAGTTAAAAGGATAAACATTATTATTCCACAAGCGTTTCTCCTGCTCCATCTGCCGTTGTGAGGAGATGTGAATGCTTCATTAGAGTTGGAGGAACAGCATCCTCCTTCTGTTTTATGTTGTAAAGCATCAAGCAGATTTCCTCAAATTCTCTTCCAGGTGGCACATAAAGTAAAACACCAAATAGAGGCTGCTCGCCCTGTCTGTGAAAAAAAAGTAGCATATTTAAGCACTGACAAAAGCTATGATACTAAACAGTTGATTACACTGTAATTAGCACATCATCTGAATTAAAGCCTTTTACTTCTGTTAGCCTGAAACCAGATAAAGTTTAATGGATGTTTCTGCAGCTCTGCTTGTGTCAAGCCCAGTCTCATTGCACTCTCTAGCCCCTCTACGGATCTACTGTTAAGGCATCCTATTGCCTGAACTACATTGTTATCCCAGGGGAGGCAGAACAACAATGATTTGGCTTCAGTCTGGGCAGGTTTGTAAACACCATAGCCTACAAAACAAAGCTAAAAAATCAATACCTATAGCATGTCACGGTCACGCTGCCAATTTCTCTCTGGTGCTCACACTGAGTTGTTCCTTACAGTAAGTGGACTAAACCTTGAATTACAGAAATAAAGGCATGGTTGATTCCTCGCTTTCCACAGAGGAATACAGGCTATAATGCTTACCACTTTAAAATAAGACTTGACCAAAGTGGCTTTCTGAATGAAACCCATATTTGTGTTCAAGGTAAAGGTGTGGCTGTAATCTCACCGCAAGCCTGGAACCAATAGAATATATTAATCACAAACTACTGGAATGAAAACACACGCACGCACACACACGCACACGCACACGCACGCACACACACACACACACACACAGAGAGAGAGAACATTTCATTCCCCTGTCTCTATTCCACCAGGTACAATGACAGGCTTCACATAAAAGACATGATCTTTTCCTCTGGGAGAAAAAGCAAGTAGAGTACAGTATGTGACAAGGAAAAATAGCACACTCTAAGAAGGGCATTTTGGGCTGGATGAGAGGGGTAGTGATGATGGGTGCTTGTACTTCTGTGTCTTTTTCACATTTTGAACCAAAGTTAATCATGAGAGATGAGACGGTTTCCAGACCAATCACGGGGAGCAGAAGTTGTAACTGAAGTACTCCCCTAGAGAAGATTTCATCAGGCAGACAAAAACAGATTTAGGTGACAACATCATTTCATCTGGTTCTGCATCTATCCTCTCTGCTCAGGTTGCTGGGTGATCTAATGCAGCGAGGATCTCATCTGGAGCTGCGCCGTACTTTGTGGGTGATACTAAAGGGCGTCAACCACACTCCAGTGAGCCATTCATTCACGTCACACAAATGAATCCAAGAGTAGGCCTCTGCCACACACCGAGAGCCCCCGCTCCTTTCCCCACAAAATGAGATGTATTCCAGCTCTTCTGCACACAGCCACATTTTGGCACCCAGTTAAACACAAGCAGGAAAAAGAGAGAAAAGAAGTTGAAAAACCTTCTTAGAGAGTTTTAAATAATACATAGTACAAGTCCACGTAGACCGTCTCGCCTGAAAGGAGTCAAAAATACCACAGACATGTCGAACCTTCATAGTGTCTGCCACATCAGAGAGGCAGGCAGCATCACTGCAGCTGCTGGCAGCCAAACAACACACACATACGCACACTTTGTATTTTGCTGTTTCAAAAACATGACATTTTTTAATGAATCATTTATTTGCATTGGTTAAATAGAGGGAAAATACGCTTTATTGCCAAGAGATGTATAAAAAGATTGATGCCCCTTTTGTATCTGTATGATAAATATGGGGCTACAGCCAGCAGCCGGTTGGTTGGCTTATCAATGGATTTTAAACTGCAGGAATAATTGGGAGGGGGGAATGCCCACTAATTGACATGCTACATTTAATTTGTTTAATTTGCAGAAAAACTCAAGTTTTAAAACTACAGTTTGTTGTCTTACAGCGGGTTATGGGGCTAAAATAAGCTTGCAGCCCTCTGGGTCTGACCTTATATTTAATTGTTTTGGTCTCCTTATAATACCACTTTTACCAAGAAAACCTACATTGTCAAACCATACCTACAATACTGTCCTTGTAATTAGTTGTGTTCAATCAGTGTTTTAGTTTGCAGTACAAACACACCGGGCTTCTGTTCTGAGATGTGAATGTCTTTGTGCTTTCATTCTCCGTGTAGCTGAATAATCAAGTGGACATCTGCTTGAGAAAGACTTCTGTATATTGACTCTGCTGCCATCCAAAAGTGCTTGTCCATAGCACAGCTTGTTACCTTGGAAACATGCCTAGCTCTGTCTGTCTGCTGGCTGCAGCTTTAATCTCCTCAAGTACTTCTCCTGTGTGGAGCTGCAGATGCTGGTAAACATTAGTCTGAATGATATATTGATATGTTTTCTATCTTTTATTTTTGCCTTCTTTTTCACTTGGTGCAAATCACTGCGTTTGCCGTATAAGAATGTATCCCATCATGAGGCACTTGCCGCTTTAACAACTTAATATTCTCCTCATGTGTTGGACTGGCTGTATGGGAGGGCTGTCACATTCAAATTAGAGTAAAATATCTTACTGCCCTCCAAGGAGAACTGCTGCCAAAGCACCTTAGTACAAGACAGTTAATGCATTACACTGTGAAATGAAGACTATCATTAAGAATGTACCTTAAGGGGAACCATTCAACTGCAGCTTATTCCAATAGTATTGTAGCACTGCAGCGTGTTGTAAAATACATAATGCTAAAATTAATCTTTTTAGCACGTTTCTCAGATGGCTTGTTGAACATGTCATCTCTCTTTTTATGAGAACTTGACGCCTCAGTTTATAAATCTAGTTTGATAGACATCATCTTCTCTGCTGCTGTTGAGGCCACTCACAAGTAATGATGTAACTGCAATGACCACAGATGTTTTAGTTATCTTCCAATCACGTCAGGAGCTTCACACAGTAGGATGTGAAATGCAGGCTGTGTCAGACAGGGCTCAGGTTTGGGTGAGGAAGAGGAGGAGGAGGAGGAGGAGGAGGAGGAGAGCGGGTTCAGTGTAACAAGACACACACACACACCTTATAAACAGCTGTGTGAAAGGAAGAGATGTCTGGCCTGGATTCTCATCCATCAGTGCTGTGAGTTCAGTGATGGTGTTGCAAAATGTCTGTTAAGAAATAATATGCAACTTCTTATACTGATACACGTCTTGGTCAATGAAACAAAACAAAATAATATTTTTTTGTTTTCACATATCTAGTAATAATAATAAATTGTATTTCGATAGCGCTTTTCTCTGACTCGCTTTACAACATAAAGGAGAGTTGGGGTGGGGGGGGGGGAAGAGTACAAACAAACAAGGACAAACAACATTTATAGTGACTCATGACTGTACATGTATATCTGCATATACCTCAGGAACTTCATTACTTTACTTTAATTTATAATCTGATTTGAATGCATTAGTATATCTGTTGTTAGATTATAATGTATTATGACTATGGACATTGTTGGATATTGGTCAGTGCCAATAGCTGACTAACCCAGCAGCACATTTAGTTTGGTTCCTTTAAAGAGTTTTTCTTAAAACGTGTAAAATGCAGTTTCATGTTTAGTGATGTCTGCTGTAAATCCCTTCAGAACGTCCTTGAGCACTTTTGTAAGTCTTAGAGGATAAGCAAAGTGACACATTCAATTACGAAGTCTTCTATCCACAACATGTTGTCTAATAAGATTTTCAATGAGCCATTAATGCCACATTGTCCCACTGGGAGTGAGTTGAGAAATGAATGAAAATGACTAAGGACAACTTTTTGCATCACCAAAAAAAGGAGAGGGACCTTCTTATTAAAGAGTCTCCTTTGTAGCAAGGTCGTACACATTTTGGAGCTATGCAGAGACACTGACAGCTCCAGATTATTCTCACCCAACAGGCTGTCGACTCTGACAGAAATAAGCAGGCTTAGTCTGTTCCGACCTTAAAAAGTGCACACTGATACACAATGACAGGCATGCACACAGATACACACTCAACGCACTAACTGAACACACACCTACACTCTCGCATCATCTGTCATGCATTCATATAAAGAGCATGGAAACAAGAGACACATGTATGTTGCTGCATGGATTTCATGCATTGCAATAGGAATTATGGCTATTGTGTAAGGAAAAGGAACATGTTTATGTATTCATTTGAAGCCTTTACAACAATCCTCCAGAGAGTGAGGGAGGTTATTTCTGTGATCTGTTATCTCAAACAGCCATCGATCTGTTTTACGAAGCATACATAATCCAAATAACAACAGTGAGCCCTGCAAAATCACAAATGTGTGGAGCGAGCACATATTTTGCAAGGAAATGTTCAAGGTAAAGTTGTGGTCTGCATAAAGAAAGTTTCATTTACTGTACCTTGTTTACTTACTTGTTAAGACAATGGGATGTAACAGACATTGTTCCATTTATTCTTCTGCACCTTTCAAAAGGCTACTACCAAAATCTTAGCACTTTTAAAAAAAATTGAAAGCCCTATTTCACAACAGATGTTCACTCTGATAGTGATTGAAGTATAAGTGTTTTTTCTGGGTTTCTATCTGGTTTAACGTGCTGGTTTAGTGCACTAGTAATTTGATGTTTAAAACCGATTTTATATATTTAGAATTATATAAGAAGCAGAATGAGTGCGACAGACAGATAGA